GAAAATGAATATACTACCCAAAGCACTCTACAGATTCAATGCAATCCCTCTCACACTACCAATGGCATTTTTCACAGAACTAGAACAAAAAATTTCACAGTTTGTATGGAAACACAAAAGACCCCGAATAGCCAAAACAATCTTAAGAAAATCGGAGCTGGAAGAATCAAGTTCCTGGACTTTAGACTATACTACAAAGCTACAGTAATCAAGATAGTATGGTACTGGCACAAAAACAGAAATATAGATCAATGGAACAGGATAGAAATCCCAAAGATTAACCCACACACATACAGTCACCTTATATTTGATAAAGGAAGCAAAAATATACAATGGAGAAAAGGCAGCCTCTTCAATAAATGGTGCTGGGAAAACTGGACAGCTACATGTAAAAGAATGAAATTAGAACACTCCCTTAGACCATACACAAAAATAAACTCATAATGGATTAAAGACCTAAATGTAAGACCAGATACTGTCAAACTCTTAGAGGAAAACATAGGCAGAACACTCTATGACATCAATCACAGCAAGATCCTTTTTCACCCACCTCCTAAAGAAATGGAAATAAAACCAAAAATAAACAAATGGGACCTAATGAAACTTAAAAGCTTTTGCACATCAAAGGAGACCATAAACAACATGAAAAGACAACCCTCAGAACAGGAGAAAATTTTTGCAAATGAAGCAAGTGACAAAGGATTAATCTCCAAAATATACAAGCAGCCCATGCATCTCAATATCAAAAAACCAAACAACCCAATCAAAAAATGAACAGAAGTCCTAAATAGACATTCATCCAAAGAAGATATACAGATTGCCAACAAACACATGAAAGGATGCTCCACAGCACTAATCATTAGAGAAATGCAAATCAAAACTACAATGTGTATCACCTCACACCAGTCAGAATGGTCATCATCAAAAAATCTACAAACAATAAATGCTGGAGAGGGTGTGGATGAAAAGGAACCCTCCTGCACTGTTGATGAGAATGTAAATTGATACAACCACTATGGAGAACAGTGTGGAGGTTCCCTTAAAAACTAAGAATAGAACTACCATATGAACCAGCAAACCCACTACTGGGCATATACCCAGAGAAAACCATAATTCAAAAGAGTCATGTACCACAATGTTCATTGCAGGTCTATTTACAGTAGCCAGGACATGGAAGCCACCTAAGTGTCCATCCACAGATGAATGGATAGAGAAGATGTGGCACATACATACAATGGAATATTACTCAGCCATAAAAAGAAATGAAATTGAGTTATTTATAGTGAGGTCCATGGACCTAGAGACTGTCATACAGAGTGAAGTAATTCAGAAAGAGGAAAACAAATACCGTATGCTAACACATATATATGGAATCTAAAAAAAAAGAAAAAAAATTATTCTGAAGAACCTAGGGGCAGGACAGGAATAAAGACACAGACGTAGAGAATGGACTTGAGGACATGGGGAGGAAGGGTAAGGTGGGACAAAGTGAGAGAGTAGCATTGACACATATACACTACCAAATGTAAAATAGATAGCTAGTGGGAAGCAGCTGCATCACACAGGGAGATCAGCTCGGTGATGTGTGACCACCTAGAGGGGTGGGATAGGGAGGGTGGGAGGGAGATGCAAGACGGAGGGTATATGTGGATATATGTATACATATAGCTGATTCACTTTGTTATACAGCAGAAACTAATACAACAATGTAAAGCAATTATATTCCAATAAGGATGTTAGAAAAACCAAAAGAGATACATACTACTATGTATAAAATAGAGAAGCAACAGGAATATATTGTACAGAACAGGGAAATATAACCATTGTTTCATAATAACTTTAAATGACTTTAGCTTTAAATATGTTTAAACCATAATAACTTTTATAATCTATAAAATACTGAATAGTGATTCAATATTGTGCACCTGAAACTAATATAATATTGTAAATCAACTATACGTCAATAAAAATATGAGCTGTTAGAAAGAAAGAAAGAGAAGTGGACTTTAAAGTTTTAAAAGGTAAAGTAGCATAATAAATGTACTTTCAAGTTATTTAGAATGTTTTTTCAGAAAAACTATATGCATGTTTACAATATATGGATATATATGAGAGAACAAAGAAAATATGGTAAAATATTTAAAATAGGTAAATTTGAATAGAAAGCTTCTAGGAGTTATTTGTACTATATTTGTAACTTTTCTATAGTTCTGAGATTATTTCAAAATAAAAATTTTTTAAACACTAGATAGGTAAATTAGAATCAAAAAGTTTTTCATTAAATAATACTTTCATATTTCCTTGATAAAATCAATATCAATTTTCAGAATACATTCACAAACATTTTTTAACTTGCTCTTACAACCACCTCACAAATAAAATATGAAAGATGATTGTTTCTATAGTGTAGATAAAGCAGTGATAATCAGAGTGGTTAGTGCTCTTGCCTTGGGCCTCATAGCTGTGAGTGACAAAGTCAACAGTAGAACACGTGTATTTTGATCCATTGTCCAGTGTTTTCTCTACCACATTGTTCCTTAACATCTGACAAAATAAAGGAATTTTCCGAATCACCTCAAATGTATTAGTACATTAAAATTGGGGGTTAAGAAAATATGAAAAATGTATTCAGTCAATGCAAATATTTCTTTACTTCAGAGAGTTTCAAAGACCAATATATGGGTAAAGCTAGATCAATCATATGTTTAAAAAAGATAAATGAAACACGACTCAGAAAAGGGGCCTATGCCACCACCATGCAATATTCATAATTTTATTAATAGCCAGTCATGCATATCAGAATTGTGATTTTATTCACATTGTACTCAGATATGCAAATAAATTTATTGCCTCAATTACTAGAGGTAACATAATCTTCCTAAGCCCTCTTGGTAACAAGCAATCTTGCAATTGTTGATTAACAAAATCTCAGTCTCTTCTACATTAAACAGTCTCCTTCAACTCAAATACTTGGACTATTAGAAGTTTAGCTCTGTGTTTAGCCTAGTTTAAATGCATCTTTTGGATGGCTTAGAGTTTTAGGAAAATGATTAAATAATACTTGAGAGTTTGGGCACCTCACCCTTCTCTGTTCAGAAGACATCTGACTGGGTGAGGGAATGTGTACCATCCCCACAGAGGGCTGGGGTGGGCACTGGTGCAGCAGAAAGAGACCTGGGACTCCTGCCTGGTCTCTGCTGGGGTGAGACTCCTCTGGTCTGCTCTTGCGTGGGTGACTGATCTGGCTTTTGGGAGTTCTCCTTTGAAAGTGCGGCTCTCCCTAGTCTTTTTAGAGAAAGAAATTCACTCTCCTTGGTCTTCTTAGAGACCTTGTATATGTGTCCAGATGTTTCTACAAGCCCCTACCCCTCCCTGAGAATGGATTTTGAGGGTGAGAGGCTTCAAACTGGGCGAGGAACATGGCAAAAGAACACTGCCATCTGATCTTGCTAACCCTATTCCCTCCTCCCCCTCAATCCACTAAAAAAGTGAACTTTTCTTTTATTTCCCTATTCTTTTTTGCCAAAATTTCCCTCTCACGTCCCTTCTCAGGTTACAGATTCATGATTCAATCCCAGGACCAAACACAGGGAAAAATACCCAATAATGTAATGTAATGGAGGCATAAAAAATCTAGTGTACCCATTACAGATATATAAGCATTTAAGTATGTCTCCCAAGTGGGTATGATTCCAGGACTGAGATAGGCTGTGTTCTGACAGTATTATTCTCAAAAGACAACTCTTCCATCCTGCTGGTATTTGAAGGAAAAGGAAAGGCATTATTTGCAGTGTTCTTATGAGTATTTGTATTTTAGCAACTAGGCCCCTCTCAGTAGTCAAAAGCATTTAAGTTCAGTCAAAGTTCACTGAAATCTAACTGAGCAAACAAACAAAAAGAGAGGTAGATCACTCCACCCCCACCATCACACCATTCTGGCACATAGAACATGATCATGTGTGATAAACACTTGCATGGGAGACATCTTGACTTCGTCATCCAGGATATAAAGTGATTAAACAGTAGCAAATTTCTTTGCTCCCGAGTTGGCTCTCCTGCTGCCTGAAGATTCCATATGTTCATTTATACAAACAAGTCCCATTTGGTATTTACTATCATACATTTTAAGCATGAACTATATACCATATTCACTAATTCCATAATTCATAATTAGAAACTGAAAGTTATTTGACCACATGCAGATACCCTGACAAACCGAAATTGAGTTAGAGAAAGGCCCATATGCCCAACGCAGCATCATGCTGTTATCTTTTCACACCCTTAAATTCCATCTCTTCTAACATTCTCTTCCCTGCGCATAAACAAAATTGAGGCCAAAGAGTAATTATTATTTCACAGGTAATTTGGTAAGACTTTTCAGAGTCAAAAAAGAAAGCAAAATATTAATTAAACTAATTATCATAAAGTCAAATCATGCAAATAGAACAAAGATTAGATAAACTATTGGAAACTTTGTTTGAAGCAAAGAAAGGCATTGCATAGTTGAAACACAGTGAGAAAGAGGAAAGAAAATTTCAGGCAGTTATGAGCTTATATCCTAACATAACCTTTGACTTACTGGACATAATATTGAGTCTTTATCCAATTAGATATCTGCAGCGCACAGGTTGAAAGAGAGCCTTAAACTTTAAATAGTAAAATATGTTTCTAAGAAGTTCTGGTCTGTTGGAAGGAGGAAAGCCATTCTATGCTCACCCTTAACCATAAAAGGCAGTTGCACTTCGTGGTATGAATAGTTCCGAAAGGTGATTTAACTGCAGGATCAATTATCAACATCTCTAGGCTATTATTTTCTTTGCTGGATTTTTTTACTTTGGGAGCAGACTTTTAAAGTATTTCAAGGAAGTACTTATTCTCATATATCTTGGATAAAATTAAGGCAGTTACAGAATGCAAATTAATTGTCTTAGTTAGCTTAGGCTACCATAACAAAATACCATAGACTGAGTGGTTTAAACAACTGAAATGTGTTTTCTTACAGCTCTAGATGCTGGAAAGTCCAAGATCAATGTCCAGCAGGATTCAGTTTCTGGTAAGATCTGTCTTCCTAGCTTTCAGATGGCTGCCTTCCCATTGTGTTCTCACATGCAGGAGACACACACACACACACACACACACACACACACACAGATCTTCCTCTTCTTATAAGGCCACAGTCTTATCAGACTAGGGTCCCATCCTTATCAACTCATTTAACTTTAATTATCTCCAAAAGACTCTATTTCTTGGGACTTCCCTGGCGGTCCGGTGGTTAAGACATCACCTTCCAATGCAGGGGCAGGTTCAATCTCTGGTTGGGGAGCTGAGATCCCACATGCCTCACAGCCAAAAAACCAAAACATAAAAACAGAAACAATATTGTAACAAATTCAATAAAGACTTTAAAAATGATCCACATGAAAAAAAATCTTTAAAAAAAGACTCTACCTCGATAAGTAACATTAGTGGTTAAGACTTCAATGTATATATTTCAGAAGGATACAATTTAGTCAATAGCATAAATCAATCATTTCTTAGAAATGATCTTTAGAATTATACAATACTATTTTCTACTAATACCTCTTTATCCAAGTAAAAAATAAATTAATTAATGTCTTGATTGAAAATGATGAAGGCTGGAAATGTGCAGTTTTACTGTTGACCCCAAGGTTGAGAAGCCAATGTTAGTAATTTTCTAAGCCTGAAGGATTTGTTCCTAAATATTTGGACCATGACCATTAGTTAACAGGTTGTTGCTAATATAATTTTGAGGTCTCCACATCTGAAAGTTGAATGTCAAAATATGTGTTTTCTTTTCCTCTGCTGAGTTTTTAATCCAAGGTTTAAATTTCTATGTCTTAACAGAAAACCTACCAAGTTTATCTTAACATTTTTTCTTAACAACGAGTCAGTTTTCCTCACCATGAAGTCCATTAGGTTTATGGGGGTGCCAGCAATCATCAAAGTCACAGAGCCAAGGAATGAACTGGCAAAAAGCCTGTTATGAAATTTTTGGGTAAAATCCACTAATAAAAGAAGACCAATAAAGACAAACTCGTGTTCCTTTTTGTCCTTATTCTTGCTTTGACTGTTACATTATCTTTCTGATCTTTACCTCTAGGACTGAACAATATCTGATTTGGCTTTCAGATTGATAAGCTGTTTTCTAAAATATCTGAAACAAAGAGCAGGTATTTTCTAGTTGTGCTTTGGTATCTATTTGCTGAGAGCAACAGGTGTCAGAAAGTAATGTTCCTGGTCTTTCTGCCCTCTGCATGCCAAACCCTGAACAGATTCATATAACAAACTGAAGTTCCCCATGAAGTTATTTCTATGGCATATTTGAAGATGCAGGTGAAACAGTTAAAAGCATGCTGTAAGATATATTTTATTTGTTAAGAACACGTTTTTGATTGAGGATCTGACTACATAAGAGTTAAATTTTAAGCAATATTTATGAAAACATAATTTGTTATTTTTAAATAGTTATCGATTGTCCATTAAAATGGAGACAAGTATGAAATGCTTTAATCAAATCCCACAATTATCATCCAAATGACACTCTATTTGTTTTAAACTAATTTTTAAAAGTCAGTACCTGAAAAAATCAGAATATCATATTTAGTTTTTTATTTTCTTATAACCACACATCTTCTGAGGGTGTATGAACGAGCATTGTCACTGTCAAACAGAAAGAGAGAGAAGAGAAAAAGGGCTTAGATGATCAGCCCCGTCTAATTGATGTGGTTGTCTCAGCCATCTGATGGAAGATGGCAAATAGGAATAGTTTAAAAAAAAACAAAAACAAAAAAAGGAAGGACATGGAAGAAATTAGAAAGTCAAAACTATCTTCATGGAAAACAATCCAGTGTCAATCTATCGTTTCACCAATTTGTTATACATTATGGTCATCTCATGGTCCTGTCTCTTCCTTGGAGGTCCTGTCAAACCCCTTAAGTACATCATGGATTTATGGCAATTTGCAAAATGAAATTATGATTGTATCTGGCTCACCAATAAACAAAGGAAAGGGCAATGTAAAAACTAGATAGCAATATGTGATCTATTAAATTATAAATCCACATTTAATGAACTGGAACTGTAAAAAACACGTTTTGAATTGTGCAAAAAATATAGTAGTTCAAAGTATAATTATAAGTTTAATTCAATAAATCAATTGAAAGTAAATTAGGGAGGAATTAGATAATATGACAATTATATTTAGTATAAATTTTGAAAATTCAAGGGGGATTTCTATTTCTCTGTAATAGAATAACAAACAATAAGAAAACTACACAGATCAGGGGTTGGAAAACTTCTTTTGTGAAAGTTCAGATAGTACACATTTTAGGCTTTGCAAGCCACATATAGTCTCAGTCTCCTCTTTTTCAACTTGTTTTATCTCTTATCCTTCTTGTTTTTTCTTGCATCTTGTTTTTCTTTCTTCGCAACCTTTTAAAAATTTAAAAACAATTCTTAGCTCACTGGTCATACAAAAACAGGCTGCAGGTTGGATGTGGCTCATGGTTGTGTTTGCCAACCTCAGATATAGATAAACCAAACAAGGCTAGTATCTTTATAGTTTTCTAATATACCATAATCTCACTACTCATTTTCTATTTTCATGCCTTTGAACTTGCTGTTTTTCTCACCCAGACTGCCCATCCCTCTTTCTTGCCTAATTCAAGTCACATATCATTTAATATAAAATTTACATTCTACTTCCTCCAAGAAACTTATCTGATCAACATGGTATAACTAATATTTTTGTTATGAATATAACCATAGAAATATATGAAATGTCACATAATTCATTATTTGCATTAACAATTCCAGGTACCAATAGCCAGTTTTCTTATGTACAACTCTATAATTTTATTGACCATATTTCAATATTGTAATTATTTTAAAGTTATGCTTAGTACTCTTTAAGTCTCAAATTTAGTGAAATATGTTTTATTGCTTTTCTGCTAAGATTAATTCTACTAAGTTAATGCATCTGTTCTGCTAACAGCCTGCTTTAAAACAACTATAGGGACTCAGGGAGGTTCTGCATCTGCTTAGGATTCAGAAAACCACAAGAGAATGTTGCTATCACCCTAACAACAAGAAAAAAGTCAAAATCTACATTTTCTTTACTCCATAGGAGAGCTGAAGTTGCAGGGCAAGCAAATGATCTGAGTTCCAAAGAGTGACAAGCTCTCTGAGGAGAAACAGTACACACAAATTTTCACCTTTGGCAAGACATGAGAGGATGAGATGGTCACCGTAGAAGTGGGTAAGAATAAATCACACTAAACTTTAACGAATTCTTAAAGGCTGAGAATGGACTAGCATATAAGTTTGGAAAAACTGAAATCCCTCGAAACAAGTATATTTTACACTCACTCACAAACATTTTTCCATGAGCCAATTCCATGAAAATTGAAGGTCATGGTAGAAAACTGGGGAGAGCTTCCCTCAGGAACATCAGTATGCAGGTGTTCAGCTACACCTGGGGAACAGATACAAAACTTTGTATTTTCTCAGATCCTTCTCTTATAAAAAGTAAAAGCATTAAGTTGCTGGAATAGAGACAGGAAGTGCTACGTCCCTAGGATCCAGGCAAAAATCCTGTTTCTAGGGGAGGGGTAGAGGCATAACCCATCTGCTTCTGGGAGTGATTAGGAAGTCCCCCTATCTTCAGGACATAAACACTTCCACTGTTTCTGGGGGATAAGTAGAAAGGGAAGAAGGAAAATCTTTCTGCTCATGAAAGAGGGCAGGTAAAACTCTTGGACCTGAGATCCTACACTGATACAAAGCAGACGTCTGCTACCAGTGGGGAAGAAGCAGGAAACACTCTCCCACCCAAGACATGTGCAATATACAAGGCAGGGTTTGACTGGCATGAGTTAGAAAGTCTGGACTATGAAAACTCTACTCCCAAGGCCCAGGACCAGAGATCCTACCTAAAAATTAGGCTAGACCAGGATAATATAGCACCCTCTTCCCCTAACATGAGTAGCAATCAACAGCAATCTGGGGTGAGGTAAGAAAATTGAGAGATATCCTCTCTGTAGCATAGGCATGGAGGACTACTGAAAGGTGAATGTGGAACAAGAATACTGAGAAAAACCCTCCAGTACTCCAGGCATCACTCCTAGCACAGGATAACAACAGCCCACCACAATAGGAATTTAAAGCCTGTAATGAATAAAGGTTTAAGTAGCAACAGCCAAATCCAAACCCAGCTCAAGTACTGACAAGATTTACTCAACCCTCCATATTAACAACCTGACAGAAGAGATGGGCTGATTTCTGAGAGGAAATAATTTTTACCTCAGTCTCAACTGTTCTTCTATACATAATATCCAGCATTTAGACAAAAATTATGAGGCATGCAACAAAGCAAAGGAAAAATTATTGTCAAGAGAGAAATCAGTCAATAAAATCATACTCAGAGTTGTTCCATATGTTGGCACTATCAGACAGCAACTTTACAATAACTGCAATTAACATGTTAACAGATCTTCCAGAAAAGATGAACTATATACAATATAAGATAGGAATTTTCAGCAGTGTTATTGAAACTGTAAAACAAGAGTCAAACAGAAATGTCATAAATTTTAAAAGCACAGTATCAGAGATGAAGAATTCCTTTGACATGCTTATCAACATACTGGCTATAGCTATGGAAAAAAAGCATTGAACTTGAAGATAGGTCAATAGAAATTATCCAAGCTAAAAATAGAAAGAAAAGAGAAAGCAGATAGAATACCCAAGAGGGGGAAGACAATATTAAATGCACTAATATACATGAAATTTGAGTCCCCAAAGAAGAAATTAAAAACTGTATAGAAGAAATATTTGAAGACAACCAACATTACAAAGAAGAATAAAGATAAAAATTTACAGCAGACTTCTCATCAAAGACTATACAAACCAAAAGATAATGAAATGACATTTTTAAAATATTGATAGAAAAAAGGCTCCTTAGAATTGTATACCCAGCAAAAAAAGAAACAAAATCTTTTAAAGATTAAGATAAAATTTAAAATATTTCTCAGACAAGAAAATAGGGGGAATTCATTGACAGCAGACCTGCACTACTTTTCTGGAACATGAAACCAGATGGAAATTTGAATTTACACAAAGGAAGGCAAAGTGCCAGAAACAGTAAAAATGAAGGTAAACATAAAGATTTTTTTCCTTATGCTTATTCACTTTAAAAAGATAGAAGACTGTCCAAACCGAAAATACCAATACTGTATTGTGGGATTTATATCATATGTAGAAGTGAAATGTATGACAATGATAACACAAAAGATGAGATGGAGGAAATGGCATAAACTATATTCGAAGGTAAATTATAATAAGATGCAATAGCAAACTCTAGATCAACCACTTAAAAAAAAGAGGTAGGGCCAATAAGCCAATAAAGGAGATAAAATAAAATCATAAAAAATAATCAGTCCAAAAGAGAGCCGTGAAAGAAAAACAAGAGGGACAAACTGATGGGACAATAGAAAACAAGTAGCAAGATGGTAGATACACCAGTCCTATCATTAAAGTAATAATTATATTAAATGCAAATGGTTTAAACACTTCAATTAAGAGGCAGATATTGTCAAGTTGGATGAAAAAGGAATAGCCAAATGTATGTTCTCTACAAGAAACACTTATTTGGGTTCATTTAGCAGAGTGGATCTCACAATTTGGTGTATATAAGAAGAGCTGAGGAACTTGTTATACTAAACAGTGACTGTGACTGGCTTATTTTGCTCATTAATGTCCTCCCGGTTCATCCATGTTGTCACAAATGACAGTTTCCTTCTTTTGGGGGGCTGAATAGTATTCCACTTTCTTTGCCATTCATCTATCAGTGGACACATGGGCTATTTTCGTGTCTTGACTATTGTGAATAATGTTGTGGTGAACATGAGAATGCAGAAAGCTCCTCAATATTCTTTTGGATATGTACCCATTGAGTCCACTTACTTGGGAATCTAAAATAGTCAAACTCATAGAAACATAGAATACAATACTGTTTACCATAGGTAATGTGTTGAGGGAAATTGGGAGTTATTTTTCCATAGGTATAAAGTTTTAGTTATACTAGGTGAATAATTTCTAGAGATCTGCTATACAACATCATGCCTATAGTTACAATAAATTGTGCACTTGAGAATTTGTTAAGAGGGTAACTCATGTTGTGTTTTTACCCAAAAACAAACAATCAAGGAAAAAGCAAAGACACAGGAAACTCTGGGAGGTGCTAGATATGTCTGTTGCCTTGACTGTGGTGATGGTATCATGGGTGTTTGCATATTTCCAAATTCATCAAATTGTACGCATTAAATATGTACATTTCTTTTTATAAATTAATTATACCTCAATAAAGCTGTTAAAAATTTTTAAAAAGAAACCCCTTTGACTAAAACACAAATAAATTAGAAATAAAAATAAGGAAAATATATACTCTTCAACACTGATCAAAACTAACTTGAAATAATTAAAATCATATCAAAGTAAACTTCAGAATAAGAAATATTACCAGGGAAAAGAAAGATATTACATAATGATATAGAAGTCAATTCATCAAGAATATATGTTAATCTTAAATTATATACACTCAATGACAGAGCTCTAAAATATAAAAATCAAAAATTGATAAAATTAAAAAGAGAAAGATACATTTATCATTGGAGATTTCAACAAACTCTCTTTGAATCATTGTTAGAACCAGAAGAGAGAATATCAGTAAAGATAAAAAAAATTGGAACAGCTCTATAAACCAACTTGACCTAATTGACATTTATACAACATTCCACCTCAAAACAGAAGAATATATATAGTCTTTTCAAATGCCCATGGAGCATCTACAAAGATATGTTGGGACATAAAACAAACATTAACAATTTTTAAAAATTTAAGTCGTACAAAGTATGTTTTATGATCACAATCGAACTAAGCTAGAAATCAGTATTAGAAAGATGTCTGGAAACCCCCCAAATGTTCATAATTTAAGCAACACTTTTAAGAAACTATGGGCCAATGAAGAAAGCATAAAGGAAGTCATAAAATATTTTGCACTGAGTAAAAAAAGAAAACACAACATATCAAATTTATGAAATGAATCTAAAGCAATACCTAAAGGGTAATTTTTGTCATTAAACGCTTAAATTAAAACAAAACACAAAGGTCTCAAATCAATATTTTAAGCTTCCACCTGAAGAAGCTAAAATAGAAGACCAAACCAAAGCCAAAACAAGCAGATGGAAATAATAAAATAATATACAATATATTTCTAGAGTATCTATGGTAATAGAATGTGGGATTTGTTTCAAATTATTTACTTTACTCTCAAATATAGATTTTCTTTAAGCTTATCAGCATTCAAACATTAAGAGACAAACAGAATTGACAGAATTTCTATAATAAAAGCTAATTGTCAAAAAAGTTGTATTTTTATTTTTTTATTTGTTTTACAATTTATTTATTTATTTGAATTTTATTTTATTTATTTTTTTATACAGCAGGTTCCTATTAGTTATCTATTTTATACATATTAGTGAATATATGTCAATCCCAATCTCCCAATTCATCCCACCACCATCCCACCCCTGGCAAAAAGTTGGACTTTTTAATGTGATACATCTTTATGAGGATGGAAATGTATCTTAAATATTGCTCAGCCAACTAAATACACAAGGTCAAATTTGGTTACTTCCTCTTGGAAAATAAACCTTCATAAAGCTTTCATAATGTTGCAAATAGTCCATATTTTTCTCACATAGATTACTTTGAGACCTGGATTATTCAATAGAGAATCAAAAAGCTGTCCAATTTTAGACTCGTATTTAATAATTCTAAAATCTATGATGTGTGAGTTTATTTGGCTTTAAGAAATAAGATCCAAATGAAATTCCAAATCAAAGTTTATAGAGTTATATTTAGTTTTTTAAATTACTTGCTATTGTACATAGACTTTATTCTAGTTTATAAAAATGAGAGCTATATTAATAAACACAAGTTACAGTTTGACACATTTTATGACTGGAAAATAATCTAATCATGGCTAAAAATCTCTTAAGCTTGGCTCAGATATTTTGGCATTGAAAAATGAAAGATTTTAATTAGATACTAATTAACATAAATTTGTGGCAATGTAAGTCTCCTTTTTGTCATTTTAATTTCTAGAACCTCTGTTTAACTAACAGTAAAAGACTAATATAGCTAGTTAAAAATCATTATAGCCTCTATTAATGACAGATGTTTTAGGCCATACAAAATTGT